ATTTTTTTTTTTTTTTTTTTTTTTTAACAATCGTAATTTTGATATGGTCGATAAAGCCACTATATAACTCCTCGCAAAGTTGTGCATGAGAATGTTAGTCAAAGAAAACAAATTTTTCGATCACTACAACGACAACAACGGGTTCACGATGCTACCCATATACTAGAATTAGAGACAAATTTAGAGAATGGAAAGAGTCAAATGCACCGAGGCTTGCAAGGGATATTTTGAAGCGATGTGAGGGTTCAATTTTTAATGAGGTCGGGACTCGAGAGAGTGGTTAGGACATTGGAGAGGGTTGTATATTATCATCCGTGGAGATTGAGGGTTGCTCGAGGTAGAAGACGGGAAAGGGAGGAGAATTGTTGAGGATTGTTGGGAGTGAGTCCCACATTGACTAATTTAGGGAATGATCATGAGTTTATAAGTGAAGAATACTATCTCCATTGATATAAGGCTTTTTAGGAAATATCATACTATTGTGGACGGTCGTGATTACTAGCAAGAATTATGAGTAGTAGTTGCTTATCGTGGGTTGCCTTTAGGGGTCTTTTTTTTATAAAGATTATCCTTGTCAGAAAAATAGAGTGCTATTATATAGCTTTGTATCGGCCAAGTTCACGAGTTGGAGATAAGTGGACTCGAACGAAACAATTTGGCAACTGGTTAGCCACACGATTTTACTCTATGGAGATAGCAACGAACAAGTGAATGTCATCTCGGCCTTCATTAACACGTATGTAAAAGCTTTCGTCCAACACGTATGTAAAAGCTTTCGTCCAACTAGCTCGGTATTGTTACCAATCACTTTCGCTCCTCTACAAGTATACACCTTTAGAGTCACGAACAATTGTTTTCTTGTCTTTCTCTAAGTTTAATTAGTCATAGACACGTGTTTAATTACTTACCCTCCTAAAAACTCATAGAAAATAATTGAATATACATTGAACTTTACCCATAGTTTTAAGTGTAAAAAAAATAGTAGGATAGAGCGTAATCCGGTATCATTTTGTTTAAATGATACAAAACACAAAAAAGTGAGATGCAAGCGTATGCCGACCAGCTTGACCTAGTTGAGCAATTCCTCGTAAGTATCTAACTTTTAGTATTCGAAATCCACATCACATCTATTTTCTAATACCTCGATTTTTATTAGGTTTTTGTTTGGAAAATTGAATTTATACGAACTTCGTTCATCTGGGATTTAGTACTTAGAGTACTCTCCATCGATTTGTAGTTGTATCGTTTTCCAACCCACGAAAAAAAAGAGGAAATAAAGTTACACTTTCGGTGCTTGAGGTCTAAGTTTGATAACAATTTGGTCTCCTAAGGTTGATCATGATAGAATTTTGGTCTCTATCATCGGTTTTTTGTTTATTACTAACGAAACGGTAACGTTTTAACGTTTTAATTTATTTCTATTTTTTCACTTTTCCATCCATGGCCATCACTTTGATATGAACCACAACAAAAGAATTTTCATACCTCAAGGTCCAATTACAAGGACGAGAGCCAAGAAGTTTCAAGAAACCTTATACACTTATATTCAAGGTATGATGAGTTCATCAAACAAAATTCTAGAAGATGCAAGAGACTTTCCTTATATGTTGTATAAAGTTGAGTTTCAAAAAAGAGATGCATGGTACTTTAAAAATTGATTTTATAAATTAGAAATTAATTAATATTTAAGGAGGTGATTAATTAAATTAAAAGCTAGAGCATGTGCTTGCCCTCGTATAAAAAGAACGGGAAAATTATTAACGGCTACGGGCATAATTGGAAGCCAAACAGAGAATGCCATGTTCTTCTTAATCCAGGTTAGGGTACCTTAAACCTGTATACAAACAACCACCAAAGGGAGGGGTCGCCGTAAACGCCGCCACGATGATGTCCACGTAGGCTCGGATAAGCCGAACCAAATTTCTCACTCGAAGCTGGAGGCTTCGACGCGCAGCTGGAGACAGCCTGTCACCAACAAAGTCCCACTCACCTATTCCCCTAACTACGTTCTCTCGGTCCCGCTCCTCTCTCTCTTCTCTTTCTCTCTCTATCTGTCTTTCTGGCCAGCGTCTTCTCTCTCTCTCTCTCTCCCCGGAGGATTAGGGTTCTTTCGTTCCTTCTGTGATTTATCCAAAACTCCATTTCTGTTTGCTAGATCAAGATTCCCCTCGCTGTAAGCTTCCGATTGATCTGTTTTTCCTTTGATTTCGTTCGCATTTTGTTTCTCTTCTTAAATCACTGGATATCTTGTTTTCCGTCCATTTCGTTTTGATACCTCTCTTTGTATTGATTTTGTGCTAATTTATCTTGTTTTCTAAATTATTTTTTCTTTTCCTTTGACTTCCCGTTTGTAGCATGCATGTTGAGTTATGAACTATGATTTTTTATTTGGTTCTTTATTTTTTTTTTTTGTGGGTACAGAATGATTTTTCTCGGGTTTGTATTAGCTTAGCGTGTGTTGCTTCATTCCTGTGCATTTGTTGGATGCTTCTTGTTGGTGAGGGATTTTAATGACTGCATTTTCAATTATGGATAATTGAGGGTTTATCAGATTATACTCACATGGCTGAGATTTCTTAATGTTTCGTTTATATTTTTGTTTCCGGTAGGAGTTGGTTTTGAATGTTGCGTAAGCCCTGCTTTTGTATCATGGTTGAATCTTGAACCAGGAGATTTCATTGATTGATATACTACTATGACTGGCTATGCCAGTTAATATATCAGGAGTGTTTTGCTTAAGATGAAAATTCAATTCTGATTTTTCATGAATTGCGATAATTTAGTTTGGTTTGAACATGTAATTGTATCTTTCCTTCATTTTTATAGGATTATTTAGACTAATGCTAGTTCAATTCTTAAAGCAAGAATCGTTTGGTTTTACAAACTTTTGCATTGTAGTTTGTAAATATACCCATACCTAGAGTTATGTACGTATACTATTTTAGGATTAGCACAGAATTGAAAGCTAAAAATTTAGAAGAATGTTCAACTCCGGGATACTTGTTCAAGTGCTAACATTGAACAAGGCAGTTGAAGTCTTAAACCCAATCTGTGGCTTAATGTCATTCTGGAAGTCGTTTTGACGTGTCATTGCTATAATTCTTTTTGATGAAAAGAGTTTTCTTATATCAGAGAATTGAATATTTGGGTTTAAAAACTTGGCTTATTTTTCATCGATTCCCGTCTAAATATGTTGGGAAGCTTGCCCTGCTTTTTCCCTTTCATGAACTGAAGAGAATCTGTATTAAAATTTTGGCTAAATTTGGTTGAATACTTTAGGAATTTGTTTAACCTTATTATTTCCATTACATCCTTTGCTTCCATTTATTCTGTGTACACCCTCTACTGCTCATAGTTTTTTCTTCTGCACCAACTATTTTTCCTTCTCATGTAGTCTTAAAGTTGACAGTATGTATATTTGCTTGAGATGATTAAAGTGCATTTAAGCCATAGTTTCTCGTAAGCCTTCTTTGGAAATTATGGTGACCTCTCATTTATGACGTCAGCGATACTGTAGCATTCATTTTTTGAAAATTACAATCTATTTGTTCCTTACTTTTTTTTTATTCAAACTCTATATGCTTTTACTTCTAAGTTCTTATTTTCTCCCACTTCACTGCAGATGAACAAGATGGATTGTTATGCCTAGAGAAGCTTGAATACATTGGTCGGTCGTGAAGACGGGCATTGTTCTTCATGACTGCTACTTCAAATGTTGTTGCCTATCATCTTCTACAGAAATTTGTGGTTAATTTGAGTTCTATGAAAGTATTCCAGCCTGGGTTGTTGCTCTGCTTTTGTTTTCATTAGAAGTGGGAAGAAAGCTGATAAACAATTAGTGGTCCATAGTATCCATGCTGGCAGAGAGTATGCTTGGAATCTGTGCATCGAGTAATGCCCCTGACGAGATTTGCTGCCGATGCATTCGGTGTGGTGACGATTTGTTTAGTGGCCCTATTGATTCTTCTTGGTTTATTGTGCATTGTTTACTCGTGCTACTTCCGGTCTCGCATTCATAGTGAAGGTTGCATTCAACTCAGTTACTTCAGTGGTCCTTGGATAATTCGAATTACATTCATCTTATTTGTGATCTGGTGGGGTGTTGGTGAAATTAGTCGGTTAAGTTTCTTGCGAGGGGAGGGAGAATTGTTGCATGACTTAAAATGGCAGGAAACGTTATGCAAATGTTACATTGTTTCGAACCTCGGGTTTGCAGAACCTTGCCTATTTCTCACGCTCTTGTTTTTGCTTCGAGGGCCCCTCCAGAATATGGAGTCAGGAATTCTCAGCAGAAAATGGAACAGGAAAACAGCAGGGTATATTTTTCTCTACTGCTTCCCAGTGTTCGTTCTTCAGATAGTTGTTATACTTATTGGACCCCAGCTAAACAAAGATAGCAGATACGGTCAGAAACTACCGGAATATTTTACTAGTGCAGCCACCATTGTTAATGCATCTAGTTCGAAAGGTGCTCGGGACATTGCGCTCTGTACTTACCCTTTATTGAGTACTATCCTCCTTGGCTTTTTTGCCACCGTCCTAACCATCTACTTGTTTTGGCTTGGGAGGCAGATTTTGAAACTGGTCATCAATAAGAACTTGCAGAGGAGAGTGTACACACTGATATTCTCAGTTTCAGGATTCCTCCCATTAAGGGTTGTATTACTCGGTTTTTCTGTTTCGCGGAGACCAGAGCAGTTATTATTTGAAGCTCTCACCTTCTCAGCTTTTCTTGTACTTTTATGTTGTGCTGGGCTGTGTATATGCATGCTTGTGTACCTTCCAGTGGCGGATTCTTTGGCTTTGGGCAATTTACAGGATTTGGAGGCGAGGAGAAGGCCGAGCAATGATCACAATGACACTCTTTCTCTTATTGCCAACCAACAACCCCATCTCGATGATGGCCCCTCTCAAATGAGCTCTGCCAGAATCTCCGATGCCTCCTCGACGAAGAGGGGGTCGATCTCTTTTAGAACATTTGAAAAGGATGGAGCTTCTGCTGGAATGGGGACAGCAACTTTTGTGGAGCTCAGCCTTTTCTCTCCCAGCCGAGAGGCATCGCCACCGGGGTCTCCTCCGCTGCTTGGTTGGCCCATGCGCTCTGCTTGAGAAAACGCCTTTAGGCTGCGGCGGATGAGTGGCCGAGTGTGTGTTGAAATGAAAGCTTTGTGATGAGAAGCTGAGAGTATTTGTCAATTTTGCAATGAAGAAAAGAAAGAACTGATTGTAAAAAGGAAACAAGTAGCTTCTTCAATAAGGATTCTCAATTTTGGGTTTGTGTTTTTTTTATATTAGATATGATAAAATTTGCGATTTTTGGTGCTCTTCCTATCTTCTCAAACAACTACTTTCCTCTTGTGATTCACATTTGTGAAGATAGAAAAAATAGGGAAAAAGAACAGTTCAGCTATTTTTTATTTTGCATAAAAAGGTAAAATATATATATATATTTTTAGACATTTATTTAAATTTTGTAATTTAATTTTATTATATATTTAAAAAAAATCACTTGAGTTGTTCAAAGAATAAATAATAAAAAAAAATATCAAATATGAAATTAAATAAAAGTGAAAATATGTATTTAGAATTATATATTAAGCAAAAATGTATATTTTAAAATTAAAGTAGATTCGGTTTAATTCGAACGGTTACGAGTTGAATTGGGTTGATTGAATTTTTTGAACAACATGTCAATTTTGTTAATTTGATTGTCGCCGTTGTTACTCACCATTGCTACATCTCTTCGTCACATCAACCGTCATTTGCCATCAATGAGGAACCAAGTGCTCTTCCTTTGTAGCAATTCAAATATGAGGTCTAAAAAGCTAAACGTTCAACGTCATATTTTTTAAATTTCAGCAAGTACTATCCTTCTTAGTTCGTGAACATTACTATAGTTATATAAATAATAAGAAAAATTACGTCCATAAATTCAAGTTAAGAAACATTTTTATCCCTTAATTTTCAAGTTCGACATTATAACTTCTAAGTTTTATTTTTAGTAACATTGTCTCCCATTTTTTTGTATTACTAATCTAAAATGAATGTCATACTATATATATTAAATTAATTTTTTAAAAAAAATTCCCTTGTAAAGTCTTAATAAGTTTGGTGGTTAAAGTAAAAGTGATAAATAAAATTAATCTAAAAAAAATGGTCTGAGAATAAAATGTATAAAAATATGATGTCTGAATAAATGGTATGAAAATAAAAAATAATTGTATTTAATATTACATTTCAATGTTATAGTATTTCATATAACTAAATAAAATTTATATTTGGTTCTTAATTTTTAGATAATTGATTGTTGTTATATTTATTAGTCAAATTATTAAAATAATTTTACCTTAATTCATTAATAAATATATTGAAAATAATATGTCATTTAACAATTCATTTAAATAATTATCAATACAATAATCAAATTTAAGAACTAATTACGTGTTATATTTTAAAATTTAAAATATCGTAAATTATTTTAAACAATATCCTAAAAATAAATAACAAGAAGGAGAATGTTAGATATAAAGAGAATATATATATATATATATATATATATATATATATATATATATATATATATATATTATTTAAAAAATGTATAAGAAAAAAAGAGGGAGAAAATATTATTTAGGGATTAAATAAAAATTTTAAAATGTGGGACCCACATTTAATTGGAATAAAATGAGAAATCGACGTTATGATTATGATGTTTACTCAAATTATAATTGGAATAAAATTTGGGAATCTTATTTTCATAAATTATTCTCCTAACAAAATAAGATATTATTCCTTAGTTACTTTCCACAATTTGTTCCCTAATTTTTATTTATTTTCATATTATTCTAATTCTAGTTTTTTTTTTTTTTTTCAATTTCCACCTCATTTTATTACAATTTTATTGGATAAAATCTTATATATATTAAACATGTAAACAGAAATAGAAAATATATTTTAATTATGTCGTATGTTATTTATTTAATGTATTTTAATATATGTTAAATTAATAATACGTATTTTGCTTTTTTTTTATGAAAATTACTAATATTTTATTTTAAAAATACTTTTAACAAAATCCTTAAATTTATAAAAATACTTTTAAACTATTTATAAAATTAAAAAATTATATTAATTTTCAAGTGTTAACCTCATTAATACTTTATTTTAAAAATACTCGCGAATATTTTAAAGTAATATTAATACTTTTCTAAAAGTATATATCATTATTATATTATTATAATCTTCTCTTCTCTCACTTTCATTTTATTCTTTATAGGTCGTTTTCTTTGTACTTTCTATTGTTTCAACAATTAGAGGAATAAAATTTAAGATAATTCAAATTTTATTTATTTTTTAAATTTTAATTAAGGAGTTAAAATTTTTGTTTCATTATTTGATGTGTTTTCAATTTCTTATAAAAAATGAAAATATTACTTATTTAAGTAATAAAATCTTTAAGTTCTCTATTTCTCTATTTGGCATCCACAATTGAAAGAAAATGTTTTTTAAATTTTAAATTAAAAAAAAAAAAAAAAACAGAAATGATTTTGATAGCCTAATAGATTTATTTAATTGCCAAGGCTAAAGAACGAAAGTAAAATAAAACTTTTAAAATTATAATATTATTTTATATTATTAAAATATATAATAAGAACTAACTAATAAACCTCTCCTATATTTTTTTTATGATGTTGGACAAAAATATCTAGAAATAAAATGCTTGAAAATTAAATAATTAAATAAAGTATTTTCCACAATTCTATTACATTATTTAATTAAATAATTAATTATTATTAGTTATTTTACTTTTATTAAGTTAGAATATTGAAATAATTTTAATTAATTAAAATTTAATTTAATTTTAATTATTGTACTGTTTTTTAGTTTATTTTGTAATAAATCTTAATAATTATTATTTATTAAAATTCTATAAACTCTTAATGATAAATAATTAGCCCAATTTATAAAAATTAGACGTTATATATGAGATAGAATTATAATAATTTATTAATAAAATAATAAAAATAATTTAAAAAGATGCATAAAATAATTATTACAATAGAATATTTATTTATAGTTTATTATTAACCAATATAATTCCCTATACCTTCCAAGCAAATTTTGGAAAAAATTTAGAAGCTAAGTATGAGACAACGAAAGTTAAAACATGGTTAGTTAAAAGTATGGAAACTGTCGTGCTTTAGGACATTTATCTACTCTAAAATAGAGGGAGACAGATAGAAGAGCCACTGAAATACAGTCTCTTATGTATGTCGAGGCTTCGGTTAACCACAGAGTGGCCAAGAACATTATTGTCGACTTTGGAGCCACTCACAACTTCATGACAGAGTCTGGAATGAAACACTTGAACGTTTCACTAACCTTATCATGTTAATACAGGGGTGTATAACCATTTATTAAAATCATGTCTACATATGCTAGGGCTAAAATGGTAAAAAATGTACTATAGGAGATGTGACTAGTTGTCAATTCTTCATACCCAGTTATATACTATCAGAACTGTGGTTGTTGCTTATTCGCTTTTAATCTATAATATTGCTTTCTTTCGAATTACTCTCAACGCATTTTCTCGCTCACGTTTTATGAAACATTTTATGTCAAATATGACTCGAGTTTTCATCATACGTTAAGCTTATTCACATAGTTCGATTTTCACACTGTTGACTTTTTCGTTAGATTAAAACAAGTATTGCACGGTCGCTGTACGAGGTTCTACACACTTCGAAAACTTGAGCGTTTGTGCTTCAAGCAATGCATCCATCTCATTAACACATGTATGTATGCATGCATGCATGCATACATACATACATATTTATTTATTTATATTATGAGTTAATCAAATTTAAGCAAAATACTTGCTCTCCTTTTTCTCACCCCTTTATTTCTTGTTCCTTCCTTTCTCGCCGCAGCCAATTCACCGGCCTATTTTCCCGTCCAAACCTCGCCGCCTGAGAATTTTCCGGCTCTTTGAAGGGGAAAAAAATTCCTACGCTTACTAAGAAATTCGAAGAAGCTCTGAACCAGCAGTGGCTCACTGTTTTCTCTTCGATTTTCTTCTTCTTCTTCTTCAACATTTCATTCTCTGTTTCTACCTTGAATCTTACGAAAAAGGTCAGTTGTGTTCTTATTCTCTATCTATGTTTCAACTTTCGGTTTACAAATGATTATAATAAGTGATGACGGAAAAATCTTTACAGCTCCCTTTGCCATCCACAGTTTCTTGTTTCTAATTGCAACAAAAACCAGTGGACTAACCCACTGGATTGTGAAAGAAATCGATTCTCCGAAGCACGATTTTGTATGTTTTAGCATTTTCTCTTTCATATCTTGTGCGCCTTTTCTGTTTGAGGTCGTTTTCGTATTGAAATTTTCAATTATAATAGGGATAAGGAAAATTGTCCACGGTTCTTAGCTTTGATTTGAACTCCATTGCATAAATTTCTTGCTCATCTCTGCAGTTTTAGGGTCGATTTTGAAAGAGAAAGTTATTGAGAGAAATGTCTTGCACCACTCTTAGTCTTGGAGGAGGATCATTCAAGTTTTGTAGCATTGATAGGGGCTGCCAGATAAAGAATCATCTCCGATTCTCTAATGGGTTTGTGCGCAATGGACGATGCAATTTAGTCTGTAACTCTGCAATGTCTTTCTCCCCCCTTAGCTTCCATTCTCTTCCACGTCAGGATTTTCAATTCCACCATCGTTCACGTTTCTCCTCCCATGTCATCAACTGTTCTACTTTTAACTCAGAGGCGTCAATCTCTTCTAATAAGGCAAATGGTAATTTGGGGTCCTTGGAAAATTGGTCTTGTTCGGATGATATTAGAGTTTTTTTTATGGAAATTGTTGTTTGAAACTTACTTGCAGACGAACGAGTTATTGTATTGGTGATTGGTGGAGGAGGGAGAGAACATGCGCTTTGCTATGCACTGAAGCGCTCTCCTTCCTGTGATGCTGTGTTCTGTGCACCAGGCAATGCCGGGATTTCGAGCTCGGGCGATGCCACTTGTATTCCTGACCTCCATATCGACGACAGTGCTGCTGTCATTTCCTTTTGTCGAAAATGGAATGTAGGATTGGTTGTTGTAGGCCCTGAGGCCCCTCTTGTTGCAGGGCTTGCAAATGATTTAGTGAAGGCTGGGATTCCTACTTTTGGCCCCTCATCTGAGGCTGCTGCTTTGGAAGGCTCCAAAAATTTCATGAAGCGTTTGTGTGATAAATATGGAATCCCCACTGCAAAGGTTTGTTTTTGTTGTTCTTGGCTCTGTACCTTAAACTTGTATGCTTAGTTCCTAGCCAAACTTTGGTATTCAATAACTTTCTATTTGAGTTTTCGTCATGTAAAACTGAAAATTCTTTCATATCTCCTTGGATCGAATTGGGGTGTGGATAATCTCAGGGATTGATTGATCGGGATGAGTTCGATACTCTTCCACCCGCTATGAAAAGAAATAGGCACATCAAGAAAATTTAGTATAATGTTTGATCTTGGCTTTGCAACATTAATGAGAATTGAAGAACATTAATGAGAATTGAAGAACATTAATGAGATCTGACTAACCTTTGTCACATGGATTACTTGGTACAGTATCAATCCTTTACAGACCCTTCTGCTGCAAAGCAATATATTCAAGAACAAGGCGCCCCTATAGTCATCAAAGCAGATGGATTGGCTGCTGGAAAAGGAGTTGTTGTCGCTACGACATTGGAGGAGCCTTATGAAGCTGTTGATGCAATGCTTGTGAAGGGTGCTTTTGGTTCGGCCGGTGGTTGTGTCGTTGTGGAAGAATACCTAGAAGGAGAAGAAGCTTCCTTTTTTGCTCTTGTAGATGGAGAGAATGCCATACCCCTAGAATCTGCCCAGGATCATAAAAGAGTAGGGGACGGTGACACGGGACCTAATACAGGTGGTATGGGTGCTTACTCCCCAGCTCCTATCATAACAAGGGAGCTTCAAAGGATAGTCATGGAGTCTATAATTCTACCTACGGTAAAAGGAATGGCAGAAGAGGGTTGCAGGTTTGTTGGGGTTTTGTTTGCTGGCCTTATGATTGAGAAGAAGTCTGGCTTGCCAAAGTTGATTGAATACAACGTACGCTTTGGGGATCCGGAGTGTCAGGTTAGTCGACTCACATTGAACTTTTTTGCTTGTAATTTGACCATGTGTGCTTGCAGATACATTCCAAGGTAGAATGAGTTAGATATTCTTTACTCCATGGAGCATTGGAGTTCATGAAATGACTAACTTGTGGCTAGTGAGTTTGTTAGATTCTTGACTGGAGCCCTTTCTTGTAGTTCGACTCGTTTTTGTATGCTGGCGTATTCTTCCATTTCTTCTGAAGTCGGGTTTTTTCATGTAATGGCCCAAGTTCTTTTGGGCTTCCCCCTCAAAAAACGCGTCTGCTAAGGAGAGGTTTCCACACCCTTATAATGAATACTGTTCCCCTCTCCGACCGATGTAGGATCTCATATTTCATGACAAAAGACGCTAACTTGTAGATAGTCAAGGGAAAAGTACAAAAGAAACTGTCAGGGAATAGCGACAATAATCCTCTTTGGGCTTTCCTTGAAGGTTTTTAAAACGCGTTTGCTAGGGTGAGGTTTCCCTCACCCTTATAAAGAATGTTTCGTTTTCCTCCCCAACTAATGGGGATCTCACAATCCAACCCCCTTCAGGGCCTAAAATGTTCCTCTCTCTAATCGATGTGGGACCCCCCAATCTACCCCCTTCAGGGCCAGCGTCCTCACTGGCACACCTCCCGGTGTCCACTCCCCTTCAGGATTCAAGCTCACCGCTAGCCGATATTGTTCTTGTTGGGCTTTCCCTTTTGAGTTTCCCCTCAAGGTTTTTAAAACACATTTGCTAGAGAGGTTTTCACGCCCTTATAAAGAATATTTTGTTCTCTTCCGAATCGATGTGGGCCCTAGGTCACAAAAGATACACAAAGATGAAAGCAGAGATGATGATGATATAAGAACTGAAATGGGACATAGCAAGAGGTCAAGAGTTGTACACAATCTAAAAACAAGGCCTGCTGACAACAGAGCTGCTCCTTTTCATTAATTTCTATATCCTTCATCTTTCATATTTCCCTTTTTTGCTTCAACTTGTGAGAACTATCACCTTTTGTGTAGCCTTGTTCTTGACATGTTTCTGATCATAAACCTCTGGCCTTGATGAAAAGCAGGTGCTGATGGTTAGGTTGGAATCAGACCTTGCAAAAGTTCTTCTTGCAACATGTAGAGGAGAGCTAACTGGGGTTTCACTGAATTGGTCCCCGGGGTCTTCGATGGTGGTCGTGATGGCGAGCAAGGGCTATCCTGGGGCGTACGAGAAGGGAACTATGATTCAAAACCTCGAAGAAGCAGAGGTCGTTGCTCCATCTGTTAAGATATTTCATGCTGGCACTTCTTCCGACTCCGAAGGCAACTTCATTGCTGTTGGCGGGCGTGTTCTTGGGGTTGCTGCAAAAGGCAAAAACATCGAAGAGGCACGGGACAGAGCATACCAAGCAGTCGAGGAAATCCGTTGGTCGGGTGGGTTCTACAGGAAGGATATAGGGTGGAGAGCTCTAGAAAAGCAATTTTCTTTGCAGGAATAATGCACAAGTTTGAGAATTAATAGGAACATGTATGAGTTCACGTCTTCATGAATAAGTTCTCACTTATTTCTTCAGCTGTTGGGGGAAACTATCTGTTGTATAAAAAACTAATGATGAATGTTCTTGAGCTTCAGCCATTGCTTTCCCTTCAATCCATTGATGTAATCTCGGATTGCCATCCATGAAATTAACCAAATAGTTTAATCCAGTTAATACTATTGTGATAATTATGCTTTTCAAAAATATTTTGTTAGGAAACCCGAATCTCCACGATGGTAAGATATTGTTCATTTTTTTTATTATGATCATTCCCTAAATTAGCCGATGTGGGATTGTCATCCAATACCTTCCCTCAAACAGAGTACGAGACTTTCATCCAACACCCCTTAATCGAGGCTTGACTCCTTTTTCTTTTGGAGTCTTTATCATTTTTTACTATGCCTTCTAAGAGCCGACTTCTTTTTCTTTTGGAGTGTTTAGGGCATGACTCTGATACTATGTTAGATGAACACGACTCTCTACACAATGGTATGATATTGTCTACTTTGAGCATAAACCTTCATGGCTTTACTTTGGGTTTCACCGAAATGCCTCATTCCAATGGAGATAGTATTCTTTGATGATCATTCTCTAAATTAGCGGATGTGAGACTTTTATCATCCAACATTTATCATTGATTTTGAACTTGGAAAAAATAGTTACTTTAATGAACTTGATAAATTAGTGAAGACGAGTACTTGATCATTCTAAAATAGAGATGTTTTGCAAAGACGGGTTTTTAAAATTTAGTTTTTGTAATTTTAAAATTATTTTTTAGGGCTATTTATGGATATATATATATATATATATATTTTGTTAAAAGAATTAAATTTTCATAAATAAATTGGTAAATATATTCACATTGGGTCTATTTTTTTTAATAAAATTTGTTGCATTTAACTCCGTTGATCTATGATTTATTAACATTTAAAAATCTAAAATAATATTTTATCGTTTATTAAGAATTAATTTTTTTTTAATAATATTGTGTTTTTTTTTTAGAAATTCATTTTTAATTGTATAATACTTATGTGCCAAAAAAAAAAAAAAAAAAAAAAGCATAATAAACCAATATAAAACGCCAGCTATCTTCTTCACTAAGCACTGAAATGTTTCAAAGCTCTCTCTTTTCTAGGGTTTAACCAGTTCTTCACCTTTCCTCCTCCTTGTTCCGGCGGCTTCCGCTCTCTCTCCGCCGTTGAATCATGTCACTTTACCGCCTCCTTCTCCGCTCTTTTCGCCGCTCTTCAACCTCTCCGTCGCATTCCCAATCTCTGAGTATTGGTCCTCTGAACCACCATTTGCTGTCTCCAATTCCACCGTCCTCTCAAAGTTCTTCTCCTATCTCGCTCCTTCATGCCCGTTCATTTGCTTTTTCCTCTGCCGAAGAGGCTGCTGCCGAAAGACGCCGTAGAAAGCGCCGTCTTCGTATTGAACCTCCTCTCCATGCACTTCGTCGCGACAACTACCCGCCTCCACAGCGTGATCCCAATGCTCCTCGTCTTCCTGATTCCACATCCGCTCTTGTGGGACCTCGTCTTAATCTTCACAATCGTGTTCAATCCCTGATTCGTGCTGGTGATCTTGATGCAGCTTCTGCGGTTGCTCGCCACTCCGTGTTCTCGAATACGCGGCCGACGGTTTTCACTTGTAACGCTATTATTGCTGCTATGTATCGGGCCAAGAGGTACAGTGATGCGATTGCACTGTTTCAATTCTTTTTTAATCAGTCGAATATAGTTCCCAATGTTGTGTCGTATAATAACTTGATTAATGCTCATTGCGATGAGGGCCGTGTTGATGTGAGTCTTGAGATTTATCGTCATATTATTGCAAACGCCCCATTTAGTCCCTCGGCAGTGACTTATCGGCATCTGACTAAGGGATTGATTGATTCTGGGAGAATTGGGGAGGCTGTGGATCTTCTGCGGGAAATGTTGAATAAAGGTCATGGGGCTGATTCGTTGGTCTATAATAATTTGATTTCTGGGTTTCTAAATTTGGAGAATTTGGAGAAGGCGAATGAACTGTTTGATGAGTTGAAGGAGAGGTGTTTGGTGTATGATGGAGTTGTGAATGCTACGTTCATGGATTGGTTTTTTAATAGAGGGAAAGAGAAGGAGGCCATGGAATCGTACAAGTCATTGCTTGATAGGCAATTCAAGATGATTCCCGCGACTTGCAATGTGCTGTTGGAAGTTTTGCTTAAACATGGGAAGAAAACGGAGGCTTGGACCTTATTTGATCAGATGTTGGATAACCACACTCCGCCAAATTTTCAAGCAGTCAATTCAGATACGTTCAACATAATGGTTAATGAGTGTTTTAAGCTCGGCAAGTTCTCCGAAGCAGTAGAGACTTTCCGGAAGGTGGGAACTCAACCAAAGTCGAGGCCTTTTGCTATGGACGTTGCAGGGTATAATAATATCATCGGTAGGTTTTGTGAGCAGGGAATGATGGCAGATGCTGAGACTTTCTTTGCTGAACTTTGTTCAAAGTCTTTGTCCCCTGATGTCCCAACTCACCGAACGCTAATAGAAGCGTACTTAAAGATTGAGCAGATTGATGATGCATTGAGAGTTTTTAACAGAATGGTCGATGTTGGTTTGCGAGTTGTTGCTAGCTTTGGAAATAGGGTATTTGGAGAATTGATTAAGAACGGCAAGGTAGTTGACTGTGCTCAGATTTTAACAAAAATGGGAGAGAGGGATCCTAAACCAGATCCCACATGCTACGACGTGGTGATCCAAGGGCTGTGCAATGAAGGGGCACTGGATGCTAGTCGGGAGTTGCTCGACCAAATAATGAGGTACGGTATTGGTCTCACTCCTGCACTTCAGGAATTCGTTAAAGAGGCATTTGTAAAGGCTGGCCGGAGTGAAGAGATTGAAAGACTGCTAAATATGAATAGATGGGGACATGCTCCATATCGCCCCCCCTCTGGACCCCCAAGGATATCACAATCGCAGGTACCACCTCAAATGGGACCTCCTCGTCCGCCACCTCAAGGACACCCGCCAATGGCCGAACCACATTGGCAACCTTCCATAAACCCTCAAGCTGGAGGAAGTTGTGCCCCTTCATCACCTCAAATGACAGGTCCTCAAGGACACCCGCCAATGGCAGAACCACATTGGCGGCCTTCCATAAACCCTCAAGCGAGAGGAAGTTATGCCCCTTCATCACCTCAAATGACAGGTCCTCAAGGACACCCGCCAATGGCAGAACCACATTGGCGGCCTTCCATAAACCCTCAAGCGGGAGGAAGTTATGGTCCTTCATCACCTCAAATGACAGGTCCTAACTATTTTCAATCAGGATCAGCTCAAATGACAAGACCACAACAGCCACCGTTCGATCCGTCGCCAATGGAGGAACAACATCACTCACAACAACCCCCTCAAATAGCTGGCCAGACGGTAGCTTGATTCTTAGCTTCCTAAGTTATTGGAGGATGCTACTGTCAAATTTTGACTTTGAGCTGACAGGGCAATATGTGATCAATTACATACCACCACCACCTCCTTGTGCTGCATGTTCCTTCTGTCAGTTCACCTCAAGTGTCTTCCATTCAAGGTATTTTGGTTAGTACAAGGATCTGGTTATACCCATGGTGTCTGTCATAGATATTATGTAGTTACCTGAGATATTAGGGTCGTTTACCTTGTTACTCTATTTAAACTCGCAAATTTATTAATACTATTTTGATGCACAATAATTTGAAATATCATTACACATTTGTAAGAACGGAATCTGATCTGAATGCAGGGGCATAGTCTCTGCCTACATCCTAATTATATTGGGGGACTCCAAGAACACAATTTAGTCGGTTTCTATGTATTTTATGGAGAGAATTGGGATATAGTGGTGATCTGGTTAGCAAGCAGGCTTACAAAACTTATTAAATAGTGTAGTACTCGGTGTCTACAGTAATATAAACAGCCAGAGCACGGCTGAGTTCGAGCCACCGTGACCCTATCCGCCAATGCTGGAGCTTAATATCTGGAAGCATTTTGCTACTGTAGCGACGACGCCCATATCGGGTCGGTTCGTCATATGGTATTACAAAACTGTGGACAGAATTTGTCAAAGACTTGTAGACAGTTTGAAAGTGCAACTGGGATACAGCTCTCAGTAAACAACATTTTTGCATTTGAGGTTTAGAGCTAGCATTAAAGAAATATATAACTTTGGTTCGGTTTAGGTTAATCAAGTAAGTGGTGTTACTATTGGTTTTGTTTGATAAATAGTATGAAGTATGAGCGGCACATTCTCTATGATCCCTACTTGTGTCGTGTTTTATGGCGATTTGATGTATATTATGTTATGTTATGAATTATACCTCGAAATGACTATTCTATGACTATTCTATGTTATGAATCTTATTGTGAATTTAATGATGTATTTTGCATGAAATCTTGACATGTTATGTCATACATACTAAATAGCATGTTCATTTTAGGTGCATGAAATATTGTTAAGCCAGGTATGTTATTTATTAAAGTTACCTTTATGAAAGAGGTATGACCTGTATCACATGTATATGCTATGATTTAAAAATGTAGGGAGCTCATGCATTTTGTGTCATGTGTATCAGGATATTTCTTTCTTACGATGAGTACAAATGCGTACGCTACGATATTGTGTATATCATGATATTATGCATGCTCTTTTCCATTTAAGACTTTTCCAACCGCTAGTTGAAGGCCAGGACCAAAGATACGTATACGAGCCCACCAGGGGGTCCATGTGTGCATGTATACGAGCCCATCAGGGGGTCCATGTGTGCATACGTAGGTCGTGTGTAGAAAAGTAATGCACATCCAAGTCCGGACTAAAAAGTGAGACCAAGCCCATGAATGATAATGAAAGGATAGGTCCAAACATGATTGCATGTATTTGTATTTTACGATCCCAAAATTGGGGCTACTTGCTCGGTATTTTTAAATACGCAAGCCATGTCCTATGTTTTTTTAGGTAAAGGCAAGACCCTCTTTCTTACGATGAGTACAAATGCGTACGCTACGATATTGTGTATATCATGATATTATGCATGCTCTTTTCCATTTAAGACTTTTCCAACCGCTAGTTGAAGGCCAGGACCAAAGATACGTATACGAGCCCACCAGGGGGTCCATGTGTGCATGTATACGAGCCCATCAGGGGGTCCATGTGTGCATACGTAGGTCGTGTGTAGAAAAGTAATGCACATCCAAGTCCGGACTAAAAAGTGAGACCAAGCCCATGAATGATAATGAAAGGATAGGTCCAAACATGATTGCATGTATTTGTATTTTACGATCCCAAAATTGGGGCTACTTGCTCGGTATTTTTAAATACGCAAGCCATGTCCTATGTTTTTTTAGGTAAAGGCAAGACCCTCTTTCTTACGATGAGTACAAATGCGTACGCTACGATATTGTGTATATCATGATATTATGCATGCTCTTTTCCATTTAAGACTTTTCCAACCGCTAGTTGAAGGCCAGGACCAAAGATACGTATACGAGCCCACCAGGGGGTCCATGTGTGCATGTATACGAGCCCATCAGGGGGTCCATGTGTGCATACGTAGGTCGTGTGTAGAAAAGTAATGCACATCCAAGTCCGGACTAAAAAGTGAGACCAAGCCCATGAATGATAATGAAAGGATAGGTCCAAACATGATTGCATGTATTTGTATTTTACGATCCCAAAATTGGGGCTACTTGCTCGGTATTTTTAAATACGCAAGCCATGTCCTATGTTTTTTTAGGTAAAGGCAAGACCCTCTTTCTTACGATGAGTACAAATGCGTACGCTACGATATTGTGTATATCATGATATTATGCATGCTCTTTTCCATTTAAGACTTTTCCAACCGCTAGTTGAAGGCCAGGACCAAAGATACGTATACGAGCCCACCAGGGGGTCCATGTGTGCATGTATACGAGCCCATCAGGGGGTCCATGTGTGCATACGTAGGTCGTGTGTAGAAAAGTAATGCACATCCAAGTCCGGACTAAAAAGTGAGACCAAGCCCATGAATGATAATGAAAGGATAGGTCCAAACATGATTGCATGTATTTGTATTTTACGATCCCAAAATTGGGGCTACTTGCTCGGTATTTTTAAATACGCAAGCCATGTCCTATGTTTTTTTAGGTAAAGGCAAGACCCTCTTTCTTACGATGAGTACAAATGCGTACGCTACGATATTGTGTATATCATGATATTATGCATGCTCTTTTCCATTTAAGACTTTTCCAACCGCTAGTTGAAGGCCAGGACCAAAGATACGTATACGAGCCCACCAGGGGGTCCATGTGTGCATGTATACGAGCCCATCAGGGGGTCCATGTGTGCATACGTAGGTCGTGTGTAGAAAAGTAATGCACATCCAAGTCCGGACTAAAAAGTGAGACCAAGCCCATGAATGATAATGAAAGGATAGGTCCAAACATGATTGCATGTATTTGTATTTTACGATCCCAAAATTGGGGCTACTTGCTCGGTATTTTTAAATACGCAAGCCATGTCCTATGTTTTTTTAGGTAAAGGCAAGACCCTCTTTCTTACGATGAGTACAAATGCGTACGCTACGATATTGTGTATATCATGATATTATGCATGCTCTTTTCCATTTAAGACTTTTCCAACCGCTAGTTGAAGGCCAGGACCAAAGATACGTATACGAGCCCACCAGGGGGTCCATGTGTGCATGTATACGAGCCCATCAGGGGGTCCATGTGTGCATACGTAGGTCGTGTGTAGAAAAGTAATGCACATCCAAGTCCGGACTAAAAAGTGAGACCAAGCCCATGAATGATAATGAAAGGATAGGTCCAAACATGATTGCATGTATTTGTATTTTACGATCCCAAAATTGGGGCTACTTGCTCGGTATTTTTAAATACGCAAGCCATGTCCTATGTTTTTTTAGGTAAAGGCAAGACCCTCTTTCTTACGATGAGTACAAATGCGTACGCTACGATATTGTGTATATCATGATATTATGCATGCTCTTTTCCATTTAAGACTTTTCCAACCGCTAGTTGAAGGCCAGGACCAAAGATACGTATACGAGCCCACCAGGGGGTCCATGTGTGCATGTATACGAGCCCATCAGGGGGTCCATGTGTGCATACGTAGGTCGTGTGTAGAAAAGTAATGCACATCCAAGTCCGGACTAAAAAGTGAGACCAAGCCCATGAATGATAATGAAAGGATAGGTCCAAACATGATTGCATGTATTTGTATTTTACGATCCCAAAATTGGGGCTACTTGCTCGGTATTTTTAAATACGCAAGCCATGTCCTATGTTTTTTTAGGTAAAGACAAGACCCTTTTGTACGGATGATCGACATCATTGATCTAGTTAGATTCATTTATTTCAACAATATCTTATTATTAGGTAAGTCCCATAAATTTTATTTATTTTAAAATAGTTCAAAATACTTTTCTCGATATTTAATTGAATATTATTGTTGAATTTAACCCCCTAGTTCATAAAATAGGTTTTTCTCCAAAGGCAATTCAATTTTCTATAATTATATAAAATAATAATAATTTAAATTAAATACATATCACTTACTACGAAATTAATATTATCTACTTCAAATATTCCTTTTTTTTATTAAATTCATATTAATGACGTTAAATATTAATTAGTTTTTATTTCTAACTACTTTATTTCATTAGTTTGGACTATAATTATGGTCAACATAAATATAGCTCTATAATTATCGTAAACATAAATATAGTTAAATCATTAAATATATATATATATATTTTTTTTAATGGAGGATGAAATTTCAAATTTGTATTTCATTAAAAATAAATTAAAAAAAAAAAAAAAAACTAAATTTAGCTGGCTCACGTTGGAAACATGTGGATAAAGCGTGGGTCCCACCAAATACTCCACGACATTAGAGACCGGTTGTTTTTGCTTTTAATTAATGAATTTGTTCGAAATTCAATGGCTTTGGTTAATATAATTCAATGTCTAATTAATGGGTGGGGAAATTTCAAAAATTACTCTTCAATTATTGATGTTGAAATTGTTGACGTGAATTTGTTAATTATTAAAGTTCGTGGATTAGGTGTATCTCACTTCTTCTCGCTTTAATACATTGAAGTTGAAAATCCAATAATTAAGACGACTCTGGAAATAACCAATTTTCAGCTCTCAATTTGATAGAATTTGATTGGATTGAGACCATTTTTAGATTCAATTTAATTATATTGCCCCGGATCAACTTCGGGATCATAATTGTTCTAGTGAATAACTAAAAAAAAAATAGATGGGAGATAGCAGTGAAAGAAACTAAGTATAAAAATCTCTCATAGGTTCACTAATTACTTCACTGTTGGCGGGTCTCTTTGTATGTGTTGTCCGAAAAGAGGAGGACTCAATGATTATTCGTTCGCCGGAACCAGAAGTCAAAATTTTGGTTGTAAAATTTTCAAATTAAACAATTTTTATTAAATGATAAACTTAATTAAAACAATTTTTATTTTTGTCATTCATTTAAATTCTTATTTTCAAGTATTTAATTAAAAATTGTAATATCTTTTAAAAAATTACCTTCCAAATAATTAAAAATTATTATAAATATTTGTTGAAGAATAAATAATAAAAATTAATTATTAAATAAAAAAAATACTAGCATAAGTAAAATAAATATTTAAAATTAATAATAAATTCATATGAAAACGTACACGCGTTTGAAAACTTCTCTTTTCGTAGATATATTTTAAAATAGTGAGACTGACGACAGTATGTAATAGGCAAAAACAGACAATATTTACGAGCCGTGGACTTGGACGGTACAATAACTCAACATCAATATTAAAACGTCTTTTTTTTTCCTCTCTAATAATTTATTTGTAAACTTTTAAATTTTTATAAGATTTTTAAAATTTTTAAAAAATTCAGGTTAATATCAACAATTTTCTAATTAGTAATTTTAAGAATTGGGTATATTTTGCTATATATTAAAGGATTTAATTGTAAAATTAAAATAATTCTAATTCAATTAACCAAAAAGATAATTTGGCGGTTAATTTAGTGACTTGATTTGCTTGTATGATTTTTTAATGACTTGAATGACTTAGTTGGCATTTCTTCTCCAATCTTTCATGTTCCTCATCGTTTTCCCTTCATTGATCTTCGCCATTGTAGCTTCTCTTCCAGAACTGTAGCTGTTTTTCCTCCATTTTGAAAGAAATTGCATGATTTTGGACTTCAAAGTTCAAGCTGTGAAGGAGAAATAATCCATAGATTTAACCAAGAAAAAGAGAAGAGTGTCGTTTAGCTGAGAGATTTCATTGATTGATGATTTGAACCGACTTTTGAAGACATCAGGGGGATCATGCGCGTCAAACTTTCTGTGCACTAATCCTCACGCCACAAACTTCTTCTTTTTCTCTCTCTCATCATGGATCACTGATTCTGCAAATCCTTCTTCTCCAGGCCACCGTCTTCCATTTTCAGGCTCATCCATTGGACCTAATCCGGTTCCATTGCTTGTTTGAACTTATTTTTCAGTGTTTATAAAGCTTCTTGGACAGAGCTCAGAGAGAATGGATGAGAGATGCGAGAACGGCCGCGAAATTGATGGGTCTGAGAGCTTGGCGGAATCGCCGTTTACAGAGGATAGAGATTCTGTATCGCTCACGCTAGGGGAGCCGCTCTTGCGTGCCAGTACTGCGAGGATCAGTACTACCTCGCAACTCGCCATTGTTGGTTCTAATATCTGTCCTATTGAGAGCTTGGACTACGAGTATGTGATTTTTGTTGGTTTTTTCGTTTTTTGGTTACTTGCATTGGTTTGAGCATAATAAGTTTCCGCGATGTTTGTGTTTTCTACTGTTCTTTTAGGATTGAAAATATGAATATAAACAGGCCGCTTGATTGATTCTGCATTCAATCCTCACTTTCTTTCAAATTGTAACAGGATTATTGAGAATGATCTTTTCAAGCAGGACTGGAGGTCAAGAAGAAAGGTCGAGATATTTCAGTATGTCATCCTCAAATGGACGCTGTGCCTTTTCATTGGTCTAATTACCGGGGTCGTTGGCTTCTTCAACAACATAGCTGTTGAGAATATTGCTGGTCACAAACTTCTGCTGACGAATAATCTGATGCTCAAGGAAAAGTAAGCTTTGAGAGACAGACAGTTAAAGAAGTATTCAATTCACATAGCATTAGGAACTTTACAAGGCTTTGTTCAAGTCTATTCATGATAATGGATACTCAGTATGATTCTTTTATATTGCAATTGTTTTGAATGATCTCGAAATCTTACCAACTGCAAAATTGTTCATATGGGTTCTATGATTTTTCTTGCTGCATCTCTTTTTCTGTGTACCCGTCGAAGTTTATGTTGAGGATTATTGAAAGGAGTAATCGTACATTGGCTAATTAAGAGGAAAAATCATGAGTTTATAAATAAGGAATACTATTTCTATTGGTATGAGGCCGTTTGGGGAAATCAAAAGCAAACCCATGAGAGCTTATGCTTAAAGTGGATAATATCATACGGTGGAGAGTCGTGGTTTCTAATAGTTTATGTGTCATTCATATGCATCTTGTATGTTAAACCAACTATGAGATATGATCATTAGCTTCTTTACAGGTACTATCAGGCCTTCGCAGTATACGTTGGTTCCAATATTGTCTTAGCTGCTGCTGCTGCAACCCTCTGTGCCTATATTGCTCCTGCTGCTGCAGGTTCTGGTATTCCTGAGGTGAAAGCATACCTTAACGGTATCGATGCTTATTCTATATTGGCTCCAAGTACCTTATTTGTGAAGGTATGCCTCATTGTAGCATCAATCCGCTTTCTCTTTCTTTAACCATTTACACATGAGTAGTTACTTATGGTCTTGACCATCGTAGTAAAAGTCACCATCATTTTGAATCATTTTGTTTTGAGCCAATGCTAATGAAAAATAGGTCATTTAATTGTGAGTTGAAATGTGCATTGTTTTCTTAAGGAAATCGCGTACATCGATAATGCACACATATACTAAGCGGGTGAACAATTAAACTTTAATATCCCCTTTTTCTTTAACAAGAGACAATCATTTCATTGAAAATATAGTGTATGAAGGGTACACTAAAAAGGGTAACAAAATTACTCCATCCTAGAAAGATGTGCTAGCACAATTGCACCTCAAAGCTTCTTAGAAGTCCCAGTGAACATTCTGAGTGGTTCTTATTTCATTCCAACAACCAAATGATTCAAAAAGGTCTTGGTCTATACGATTATGGGTCAAGTGAGCTTTTCACAGTTCGAGTCCTTATTTTGACAAGGGCTCATTTACAGCAGAAACAAGTAGAAGAAAATGAAGAATTTTGTCTGCACTTTAGATATTTGGGTACTAAAGCAGAAATGGTTCAAATATTAGAGCTTCCAAAAATAAGTTCTGCTTTCTAGAAGTTGTCTTATCTGATTCTCAAACGCTTCAGAAGGGAAGTTTGATGATTATTTTTATGAAGATAGTTATATGAAAAAAACTACAATACTGAGAGGTTTGTTAGGACAAAATATCAGTAGGTAGATAAATAAACATGATTTAAAGGTAAGCAGTTCAAGACCTCTACTGTGCTTATGGTCCATTGGAATGTGAGATCATCTTAAATCAGGAGCTGCTAACCATTATGATGCGGGTTAACTTGGCAGATTTTTGGTTCTATATTTGCTGTTGCCGGTGGATTTGTTGTGGGTAAGGAAGGACCCATGGTTCATACTGGTGCATGCATTGCCTCATTACTGGGACAGGGAGGCTCTCGCAAATACCGCCTGACTTGGAAGTGGCTCAGATACTTCAAAAATGATAGGGACAGGCGGGATTTGATCACTTGTGGTGCAGGAGCTGGTGTAGCAGCTGCCTTTCGGGCTCCAGTTGGTGGCGTTCTCTTTGCACTTGAAGAAGCAGCTTCATGGTCTCTTTCTCTTTCTCTCTCTCTCTATAGCACCAAAATATTCATTTTTGGCAGCTCAGTTTTGAGTCAACATCTGGGGGGCGTGAACGAAAAACTTTTAGATGCTGTGATTGTGGAAATGTTAAGCTGGGATTTGCCTTTATGGCTTCTGATATTTTAATTTTATTGAATGTGTTGAATTTCTTTCGCATCCAAACTAATGCACTTACTTTTTCCGTAAACAATGAGGTGCGTTTAAAACATTTAGAGGTTCAAATTTCACTTTGCATCGTATCTACTAGGAACAGCTTTTGAGGTTTTTATTTCTCTCATGATTGTAAACAATCTATGTTGTCCAAATTGTTAGGTGGAGGAGTGCTCTTCTCTGGAGGACCTTTTTCACTACTGCTGTAGTAGCTGTTGTCTTGAGGGGTTTCATGGAATTTTGTAGAGGGGGAAAATGTGGGTTATTTGGTGAAGGAGGTCTCATCATGTTCGAAATCCACACCGAAAACTCCGCTTATGGCACCCCAGATCTTATTGCAATTATTTTACTTGGAGTCATTGGAGGTGTGCTTGGAAGCCTTTACAACTACCTCGTCGATAAGGTTCTTCGAACCTACAGCATCATAAATGAGTATGCTCCAGAGATTCATCTTTTCTTTTACACCATATACAGTCCTGTTATTGTACAATTTTGCTATCACTAACAGTTGATATTAAATTACAGGAGAGGTCCCGGATCAAAGCTCATCCTTGTTGTTGGCGTTTCCATATTGACAACCTGCGTCTCCTTTGGTCTTCCTTGGTTCTCACAATGTTTACCTTGCCCATCTGACTTGGACGATCAATGCCCTACCGTTGGTCGCTCGGGAAACTACAAGAACTTCCAATGCCCACCTGGCCATTATAATGATCTTGCTTCTTTATTTTTCAATACCAATGATGATGCCATCCGGAGCCTGCTCACATCTGCTAGTGACAAACATTTTCAGTTGTCCTCACTTTTTATATTCTTTGGTGCTATCTATTGTCTTGGCATTATTACTTATGGCATTGCCGTGCCTTCAGGGCTCTTTATTCCTGTGATTCTGGCAGGGGCCTCTTATGGTCGCATTATAGGGAGATTATTTGGTTCAGTTGCTACTCTTGATGTCAGCCTCTATGCCCTTCTCGGTGCTGCATCCTTCCTTGGTGGCACTATGAGAATGACTGTTTCTCTTTGTGTCATACTCCTGGAGCTTACCAATAACCTTTTGATGCTCCCATTACTAATGTTGGTTCTTCTGATTTCAAAGTCAGTGGCAGATATTTTTAATAAAGGTGTCTATGATCAGATTGTGAAGATGAAGGGACTACCTTTTATGGAAGCCCATGCGGAACCATTTATGAGGCAATTGGTTGCTGGTGGTGTGGCTTCTGGTCCTTTAATTACGTTTTCTGGGATCGAAAAGGTCGATAACATTATCCATGCTTTGAAAACGACGAACCACAATGGGTTTCCTGTAATTGATGAACTGCCTTCCTCAAATAGTTCAGAGCTTTGTGGGCTTGTTCTGAGGTCTCATTTGCTTGTTTTGCTTAAAGAAAAAAAGTTTACTAAGCAAAAGGTGTCAATTAGATCAGAAATTTTGAGGCACTTCAAAGCACATGATTTTGCAAAAGCAGGTTCTGGCAAAGGGGTGAAACTTGAAGATTTGAACTTCAATGAGGAGGAGATGGAAATGTTTGCTGATCTTCATCCCATTACAAACACATCACCCTACACGGTGGTTGAATCGATGTCCCTAGCTAAAGCGGCTATTCTCTTTCACGCACTCGGCTTGAGGCACCTATTGGTCGTTCCGAAGACACCTGGGGTAAGACACTTCCTTACATTCTTATCAATCTGCAACCCTGTCTTGAATGTCCTAAGATGATCGGGCTATTTAGAACGAATCAAATTGGATAGTTCTATTTCTCAATCTTTCTTACTTGTTCCTACGGAACTTAGGTTAAAACGATTGAGAAAAATCAGTCATACACAAGCATTGAGAAGGATTCCTTAAAAAGTTAAAAGACTAGTAATCCTTAGAAATCGAGTGGACTCGGTCTTGTACATATGGTGATTTCATTTTTTTAATCCCTTAGCTTAGGAGCCGTGTGAATGAAATTCTTACGCACAATTTTGAATGAGGGAAAGAAGTGAGGAATCCTCTTTTTTACTGTGACTCTGCCACTCTAGTCGTTGCTTTTCTTTATGTTACTTCGAAAGTAGCTGCTTCAACTTCACCCACTCAAATTTTCGGTGTTCCTTTTTATTTCACACCATCCAAATGACATCTTCTTTCTGAAAGTCCCAGTTATTTTAGCATGATATCGGAGAATCTCATTGCTATTACTCAAACAATCATGAGACATATGCTTACTACATAGTCCGTTTTAGGGATCGACAACTTATCCATACAGTGACTTTAGCACTCGAGGTTCCAAAAATAATTGACATAACATTGATTTATATTTTGCAGAGGCCTCCCATTGCTGGAATTCTTACACGGCACGACTTCATGCCGGAGCATATTTTGGGACTGTACCCACATCTCAACCCCCACAAGTAGAACGGCCAAGGTTCCTTCCTTATTTCTTTTCCTTCTGTTGAGTTCTTATTTTATGGGGATAAATTTGCTCTTTTTTTTCCAGTGTTCATGCCATTCTGTTGGCAATTTTGAAGTGTTATAGGATAAAAATCTATGATATGAGTTACACAAAACACACCTGCATAAACAGGAACTATTTACTGGGTTTCTTCCCCACATTTATTTGTATATTTACGTCTCAGTATCAGCTCATTCCATCATTATTTAATCTTCCCCTGTTTTGGTTGATGCTCTTGAGAATTAACTGTGTGTAATATATTCTATTTCTTGTGAAAACTGTTAAAATTTCTTTTGTTGAATGTACCGTCTTATTTTGTCGTTTTTTTTTTTTTTGCTATCTATATGTAATAGCCTAAGGCCACCATTAGTAGATATTGCCTTCTTTGGACTTTCCCTTTTCAGCCTCTCCTCAAGGTTTTAAAACGCCTCTACTTGGGAGAAGTTTTCACATCCATATAAAGACTAGGGAGAAGTTTCCACACCCATATAAAGAATGCTTCGTTCCCCTCTCCAACCGACGTGGGACTTCACAATCTACCCGCCTTGGGGCCCAACGTCCTTGTTGGCACACCACTCGGTGTCTGGCTCTGATACCATTGTAATAGCCCAAACCCACCCTAACATATATTGTACTCTTTTGGCTTTCCCTTTCCGGCTTCTCCTCAAGGTTTTAAAATGTGTCTACTAGGGAGAGGTTTCCATACTCATCTATATAAGAAATGTTTTGTTCTCCTTTTCAACTGATGTGGGACCTCGCCTTTTCAACTGATGTGGAACCTCACACTATATGTTAGGTTATGTCAAATCAACTAATGTTTGTCGAAGAAGGGCATGCCAAGTCATTATTTTGTTAAACGATGTTTGTGGAGGAGAATGGTTCATGGACATCATGACTAAATAAATTAAAGGCATCCAAGTTTATAAATTAAAATGGTTCTTTAGCACAAATCTGAAGAACTGGGATAGATGATCAGGAAAGAAACTGGGGAGAGGTGATCTTGTACATGCTAGATAAAGATGTGGGTTGAGGAATCATCAAGAAAATCCAAAGAGCTTTCTTAACCAAGCTAGCAGAACAATTACTACTTAACAAATCTCCCTCAAACTCGGCACGGTGAACACGAGCCCGAGCTTTTTGTGAAGGAGATGAAATCTTGTTAGATTGAAGAAATGATACGGTGAATAAGTCGGTTAGCTAACTAGTCGTGTACGCATAGCATAAGGCTACGAGATTGTCTTTAAACAAGAAAATCATTAGGTACGAGAAGGAAGATCTTTACACACGATGCAAATCTTTAATTCAAGAGAGAGAGCGATATGGTAATCCTAGCCAGTTAAATTTAAGAACCCTCATAAACGCTTTGGATATGCAAACTCATAATTTACAAATGCTTGCCACTCTTGAGAATTTGATCTAACAACTTTGTTGAAATATAAGATCTTTAGATCTAAATAAATCTAAGAACCTCAAAACAATAAAAAATCACCCCGAGAAAAAGTAAGATTCGAATTACCTTGTTAATCGAATATCTCAAGGCAAGAACACTCATTTGAGATTTAAATCACATCACAAACATGATCGGTCAAGTCAAGATTGAATGATTCTAAATACGCAACCTAAACTACATAGAATTGCAAAGAAACGGTTAAAAGGAAGCACATTTTTTTTTTTTTTTACTACATTCTCAAGTTTACATTATACAAACAACATACATGGTTTTATATAGCATCAAAATAGAACTCTTGACTTAACATGATACATTTCAAGAGTTATAACATTTATACTTTATGATCATAATTAACGACTATGTAAATGTATCATCAAAAGTAAATAAAAAGTCTTAAAATACATCGATGAAATACCATAACTCTAGATTATCATGTGACCAAATTTTGTAATCATCCAAGAATAAATTAAGCCCGTTTCTTATATAATATAGCATGAATTGCAATTTGAATTTATCTCGTGGTAATTTGAATAACATTTTTTTCCCTATCTTTCTTGAAGTCAAAATATGTTCCAAAGTTCATAGGTATTTTAAAAATTAAGTTGATTTAATGCATATTGTATGGAAGTTAAATAATTTGATGTGTGATCATTGATAGAGGCTGAAATTAAGCTCATTCGATTCGTGGTGATGCAATCTAAAATGTTGTAGATGAAATCGAGTTAGCGCATGATGGACACATAAAATTTTGGTAAAGATCTAGAAAAATAGGAGGAATACGAGGTTGAAGACGATTGTAGGCGCGTGTGAGACTACGGTTAGCCAAGAAAATTGGAGCGCGTGCTGCCACGTGCCGACCTTTGGTTCTTCCCGTTCAACTCCTTTTGCCTTTCTCAATAAAGAGATTGACCTATATATATATATATTTATATGTATATTATGTGATGACACGATTCAATTTATGATATTCGTGAGTGTATGCATAAGTTGTTAACATGTTATGAATTTCCAGCCAAATATATATGTTACCATCTTAGTTTATGCTTATGAGTTGGTTATGTTATGAGTTGTGTATGAGAAATATTAATCTACTAATCCTTGCAGAACTTTGACAGACGCGTTGTGTGTGAAGTTGTGAACAATAAGTATTCCAGACCATTGGGCTATGTGTTATGCAGAACCTTGATCGAAGCGTTTTATGCTAAGTTGTGGACAATGAGTATTCTTAACCATTAGGTTGTGTGCTAGCGGAACCTTGACCGATGCGTTGTGTGCTAAGTTGTGAACAATGAGTATTCCTGACCATTGAACCGTATGCTATTTCAGGCTACTAGAGAGTTTAGTAGACTAGTCATACTCAAGATAAATGGAACACTTTTTAACAAACAAAAGGTTACGATATATGTTAGCTATTTACTCAGTGAATTAATTACTAATCAAAATTTAATTTCTATCTTTGTTTCTAAATAGACGTGATGTAGAGTGATCGAGACGATAGTGCAATTGAGTTGGAAATTTCAAGAGACCCTATCAAGACCCGAGTCCGTTTTTTAGTATATATATATATATATATATATATATATATATATATTATTTATTTATTTATTTTTGTCTATTTTGGAACTTATAAAGGATGTTTTGAATGGTAAATTTTTTTTTAGTTTTATGACATTAAAACCATATAAATGTAAATTTTCATTATTTGATCATATAATATAAAAATAATTTTCATTTTTTTTGTGTTATGAACTAAAATATATATTTAGTCTTTAATTTTCAAATATCTAAAAATTTAATTGTATTTATTTTCTTTTGGACCATAAAAATTTCAACAATAAAAAAAAGAAAAAAGAAAAAAGGTGGAAGAAAAAGCTGGGCTTCTAGTTAGCCACGTCAGGCGAATTCCCGATAGTTATTCATTCAGTTTGGGGAATTATTTACGAGCTCTCAGTGGAAGTGTGGTGGTCTGTGGAGGAATACGGACCGCAGCCATTCAAATTCGCGGCCATGGCGGTTGCAGTGAGCTACTGCAACTCTTCCTCCTTTCTTGGTTACTTCCCCTCTGTGAGTTCTTTTCTTTTTGTAGTTCGTCCTCGCTTCTCTGATTTTGATGTTCCTGTGGTTGATTACTCAAGCTTTTTTCGTCCGAGTTTGTTTATGTTACTTTGGATGATTAGTTAAGCTTTAATCTGAATTCCTGGAAGCATTTCCGGTTATGGATTCAGGTTACTGAAAGGAATCCTTAGCATAGTTATGTAGATTTGTTCTTTTGGGGTTGTTCTTCAGTTTGGGAAGCCTTTTATGCCATTAGACTCGAGAAATTTCTGGCACGGTTTAGTTAATTCTTTATGCACATTCTTAATCTGATACTCCTCTCATTGGTAGGCTTGAAAGTTATTGTATAATCTAATTGAGGATGAAGATTTTTAGACATGTTATCAATGTTACTCTCATTGGTGGACATGGAAATTAATACAAAATCCACTAAGTGACTATCAACATTACTTTTTGGAGGGAATGGCATTATGGATTTGAAATTCCAACATGAATTCTGACTTTGATACTCTGTTAAGATCATATTAAACTTAAAAAGGTTTGAGCTCGATGAATTATGATATGTTAAATTGTTTATACATGCGTTTAATGCTGCCATTGTTCTAATCATACATTTTGTTGCAAGTCGGGTGTTCCTTAAAAACACCCATTGAATTATTTGGGTTCTAACTGTTGGTTTGACATCGATAGTAAGGATCAATTGATATGTTATAAACATTCACGATACGTAGAAAAGTATAATCAATTAGTTACCATTATGAATATAAATACTATTAATAAGTTCCTTAGTTTATTTAGAAAATAAAAAGAACTTGAAATCTCCACATGGATATCAAAATTAATTTTTTTAAAATCCTTGCTCATGCCTTTGTGTGTCTTAAAATGTCTTGCTTCATGACTGGGGAAATCAAGGGATAAAATTTAGCAATGATTCTTCCACATTTGTTCTTATACTTCACCTTTACATTGCTTCCAACTCTGAAAATGTTGCTTGTTATCCTGGTTTGGTGCGGTATAAGAAATGCCTTGCTGAATGTATGGCTGAAAAATGCGCAAAACAAGTTCGAGAGCATGATCTACTACCCCTCGTGGCTCCTTGTGTTGCTTTATCAGTTTTCAGAATACTTCCGGTGGCATGTCCTGTGATTTTATTCATCTTGCTTGTCTGTAAAGAACTTTTTCCAATCTGTAGCGTTTTAACTTCAAACAGATTAAGGATATGATGCTACATGCAACTCTTTTGAATGGGTTTTTGTAGTATATAAATAGAAAAACCTCAACTACTATATAATTGCAGAAAAAATTGAAGTCCAGACACTTGGTTAGCCATTCAGCTCAAGCAACTAGAATTACTGGGCTTTTTTGGGGAGCTAAAAAGTCGACAGTACCAAAAGAATTTGATTATTCATTGGGAGATTTTACTTTGACAGGGACAGGCCCAGAGGTATACTACTTGATTTTGAAGTTTACTTGTAATTTATAATTGATTATTTAGTTATTTGGTTGTTATCACTTAGTTGTTCCTTATTCAGGGAGGCTCAGTTTCCCATTCAAAACCTACAAAGTTGTCTCTTTCAGTTGTTTCGTCTATTTCAGAGGTTTCAGCCAGTGACTGGGATGCTTGTGCCCTGGATAGCACTGGCCCTGAAAAATATAATCCATTTCTGACCCATGGATTTCTTTCAAGCCTGGAGGAGACAGGTTGTGCTGTGAAGGTGAGGAA